TTATAATTATAATTATAATATTTATTATTATTATTATTATTATTATTATTGTTATTGTTGTAATTATTATTATATGGAGTAATTATATTTCTATTTATAATTATAGTTATAATTGTAATTATATAAATAAATAATATAATTATAATTACAATAATAATTATATAAGTAATTATAATTAAAAATATAATTACATTTATAATTGTATGTATAGTTATAATTAGTGTAATTGGTATAATTATTATAATTTTAAATTTAATTTTAATTATAATTATATTTTTTAAAATTATCATTATAACTATAATTTTATTTAAGTTGTATTTGTAATTACAATTATAGAAATATTCAAATCAGATCAGATCAGAAAAAATTCAAATCCAATCAGATCAGATCAAAAGAATTCAGATCAGATCAGAAACATTCAGATCAGATCAGACCAGATCAGAAAGATTCAGATAAGATCAGATCAGATCAGAAAAATTCAGATCACATCAGTTCAGAACTTAAAAAATTCAGATCAGAAACATTCAGATCATGTGAAGAGGACAGCTTCTAAAAGTGGGAAGGGAGTGAAGGAGTGTATAAATAGAGGGTTGGGTTGACAGGGCAAAAAAAAAAAGAAGAAAAGGCGGCGCTCTTCTGCGTTGTTCATGGTTCTGCTGACATCATGATGATGTCACGCAGATGTCATTAAAATCCCAATTAATTTTAAACTCTTATAACTTTTTTATTTGTTTTCCGAATTTTTCATAAAAATATATTAAAATTCATGATTTTTTATCATCTTTCACATGACACCAATATGTAATATGTAAACTGCAAAAAAACCTGTTGAAGTTTTCTTGAACTCAAAAAAGCACGAATACTATTTATAAAAAAAAACACCAAATACAAATTTTTAGTTCATTGAGCCTTCACAAATACTAATTGGATATTCCATAATGCAATTTTATTTGAACTAAGTTCATTTTTATTTAACAAAAAATCATTTAAAAAATTAGTGAAATTAATTTTTTTTACTTCGAAATGTGTATATTTTATTTCATAATTATCCAGGGAAAAAGTTGAAAGAAAAATATTACTTATAATAATTTAATTAATGTTTTACTAAATCGATTTGTACAAAAAATGCAGAGTGTATTTTACTGACGGTGCACGGATGCAGGGAAAAACAGTATTGACCAATACAAATGGTCTAACAAAGGAAAAAGACACGAAACTAGCGTCCTATTCCCCTGTAACTTTTTCTCTAGTTTCTTTTTCACCTATTAATTAAAATATTAAATTACACATTTTTAGCTAAATTGACCCAAATTCAATCACTTTTCTTTTAAAGCAATTATGCTTATTATTTATTGTTCCTCTACATATATAAACTTTAGTGAAATAGTCTTTCATTTTCTTATTTCACTCGATATAATCAGATGGGTAAATTCTTATGTATGCAGGAGAATATCATACTCCATATGATTTTTCGATGTCCATATTAATTAAACATGATATATAGTCCGCAAAATATAACATGAGCTACATATACATTTCGCATACACTTACAGTTACATTTTGCATAACACCGGGTACATCACAACATAAAGCTCTTCTATTGAAGCAAAAGAATCATTTTTTTGTAAAAAAAAGTATTTTTTTTTAAAAAAAAAAAGATTTATTTGGCAAAACAAGTGCTGTTTTTTAAAAACATTTTAATTTTATGGCCTTAATATTAAAAATAGAACATATTCACTATTTAAGGAAGTCTCTGCTCTTGAAACAAAAAAAAAAATCATTTTTTGCAACAAAAAAATGATTTTCTTTGGCCAAAACAAATATTTGTTTGGTAAAAAAATATTTTTTTTGGTGAAAAAATGATTTTTTAAGGAAAAAACATTATTTATGAACTTAATAGTAAAAAAACATATTAACTATTTATGCAAAGTAATTGAGCAATTAGACTCTTTGTTTTTATTGAAATCAATGTCTTATTTCTTATAATTCGTATTAGACAAGTTAGATTTCCACTTGTCTGCACTTACATTTCTTATCAGCGTCAATTAGATTTCTTTACACGCGCATTTTTGCTTATGGGAGCAGCATGCTCACGGTGGACTGCTCCCACGATATATGAACTGTTTAACTATATAGTTAGGTAAATATATCAAGGTGGAAGTAGCCAAATTAAAATCACGTAATGTTGCACAATAAATAATGGTCATACCCAAAAAATAAATTAAACAAAAATTACTCCGTTCCTTTTAATTTTTAAAATAAATTAAACAAAAATTAGTAAAATATAGAAAAGATTTATAATAAAACTAATTACATTTTATATTAGATTCTATTAAACTCATAAATAATAAAACAAATTCTGAAATAGAAGTGCGTGAATCATTTTTGGGAAGAAACAATGGTACTACGTAGTATTATTTGGGAAAAGTTTTTTTTTTGGTTGAATTATTTGGGAAAAGTTATTAATCCCTCTTAAAACTTCGTCATTTTTGAATTTTTGGTTAATCAAGTGAAACTTTGACCAATGATAAATTTTAGTAAAATGATAAATCGTTTATAAATTAAAAAGTTATATGAAAATGTTATTTGTTGAAAGTATTTCCATAAAAGTATAAAATTTATAATTTTATATAATATTCATTAAAGTCATTGACTGTTACCATAATTGACTTGGAAAGTCAAGATGACAAAGTTTTGAAAGACGTAAAAAGTATGTTTTACTTCCATTTATGAAATTTTCTATTTCCTTAACAATTTTGGAACAACTTTTCAAAAAAGATAAAAAGGAAAGGAAAATTTTCCATTATATAGGGAGGCTAATTGACCTTTTAGTCAACAAATTACATCATTTCTGATGCAATTCAAAGTAGAATCGTGGTAGAAACTAGAAATCACTAGTCCGTGATGGGAGAAAAAGAAGTAACCAAGGAAAGAGACACGAAACTACTGTCTATTCCCCTGTAATAATTCTCTTTTGATCGAATTTTGTTTCTCACTCACCATACATTTGGCATGCCCTCATAAGTTATTTGAGTTTTTTTTCCGTATTAATGCTAATTAATTAAGTATTTACGAAAATAGGGTTGAGTTAAAAGTATTTACGGATATACTGCTGGGCTTAACTCTGGTCGGGGTAAGTCGCCAAACCGTTTGGCGACTTATAAGTCGCCAAACCGGATGACGACTTATAAGTCGCCCAACCGGATGGCGACTTATAAGTCGCCCAACGGTTTGGCGACTTACCCATAAATTAAAAAAATAAATAAATAAATAAAAGAGGGGCAAAATTGTCTTTTGAGACCCGCTGAATTTTATGACTATCATGTCCGCAGGTCGCCTGCGCAGGGGGTGCGAATTTTCGATTCTGAATTAGATGCCTGAATTCTTGTGTGCGCGAGAGTCCCCCTCTTCTCATTCACCTTTTAATACTAAGTGAAGAGTGATTCATATTTATAGGCTCAAAAGTTCCCAAGGAGTTCAGGTGTGGGAAAGTTTAAAAGATTCCTTTTTCTCCTATACTTGAGAAGAGCATTTTTTCCATCTACCTTCTTAAAGAGCTAGTTTTTGAGCCACTTCAAAGACAATTGAAACAAAAGAATAATTTTTTTGTAAAAAAAATAATTATTTGGCAATAACAACTGATTTTTTTAAAAACATTTTTATGCCCTTAATATTAAAAATAGAACATATTTACTATTTAAGGAAGCCTCTGCTATTGAAACAAAAAAAATTCATTTTTTTGGCAAAAAAATTTTTTTTTAGCGAAAAAAATGTTTTTTAAGAAACAAAACATTATTTATGGCCTTAATATTAAAAAACACATGTTCACTATTTACGCAAAGTAATTGAACAATTAGACTCTTTGTTTTATTCAAATCAATGTCTTATTTCTTCTAATCCGTATTAAACAAGTTACATTTACACTTGACTGCAATTACATTTCTTATTAGCGTGAATTACATTTCTTTACACACGAGTTACATCATTCTGTCACTGGAGAATAAAAAGAATTGTTCACCCGCGTAAACGGTAACAGCTACACATTTTTGCTTTGGCAGCATCATGCTCATGGTGGGCTGCTCCCACAATATACTAATTGTGCCACTGCATGGTTAGGTAAATATATCAAGGTGGAAGTAGCCAAATTAAAATCGCGTAATGTTGGTCAGTAAATAATGGTCATACAGACACGAGCTTATTAATTACTCCGTTCCTTTTAATTTTTAAAAATAAATTAATCAAAAAATTAGTAAAATATAGAAAAGATTTAAAGTAAAACTAAGTACATTTTCAATTAATTCTATTAAACTCATAAAGAATAAAACAATTACTTCCCTCCGTAACATAAAAATCTTCTCACTTTCCTTTTTCGTCCGTAACAAAAAAAATCTTCTCATTTCTAAATCTTCCCATCATACCCTCAATAATTCTAAAAATAATACACTATTACAATTACTTTTTTGGATTTATCCTACATTCCATCACATTATTCTACTATCTTCCCATCATACCCTCAATAATTCATATATATCCTCTTTCACTATTTTTAATTTACCTACTTTTGAAATGAGAAAGTTTTTAAGTTAAGGAGACAGTATGAAATATAGAAGTGCATGAATCATTTTTTGGGAAAGGAACAATGGTATTGCGAGTAGTACTATTTGGATTAATCAAGTGAAACTTTGACCAATGATAAATTTTTATAGTAAATCGTTTATAAATTAAAAAATTATACGGAAATGTTTGAAAGTACTTCCATTAAAGTATAAAATTTAAAATTTTATATAATACTCCATCTGCCCCGAAAAAGTTTGCCAAATTTCTTTTTTTTGGATGTTCCAAAAAGATTTTTCATTTCCATTTAAAGTAAGGAATATGTGGTTAAAGTTAATTTTCTCTCTTCTGCACAAATTTTAACCACACAGTTTTTACTTTATTAATCTGAAAATCAAAGTTGGCAAACAACGGATGGAGTATTAATTAAACCTAACGTGGAAAGTCGATGACAAAGTTCTGAAAGACGTAGAAAGTACGGAGTATATTTTATTCCATTTATGAAATTTTCTTTTTTCTTAACAATTTAAAACAAGTTCTTAAAAAAGATAAAAAGGAAAGGAAAATTTTCCATTATATTTTTGCGAGCTTTGACCTATAAATAGGAATGGTTCCAATGCATCTTCATTCTTCAACATCATCGCCTCAACTACATAGCCCTTCATTCAATTCCCAGCAGCTTCTCGTTTTGATACTTACAAAGCAAAAAAGAAAACCCAAGGTAGATCGAGAGTACGTAGTATACTTAATTGATTATATAGATATGGTGATTGTTGTTGATAATCACTGGTTGAAAGTCAAGAGCAACACAAGCAGCAGTTCAAGAGGGAAGGGGGTCTATAGAAAAGAATATGATGAGTATATGGGCCTTGAACGGCCCACCAGTGACAATGATGACAGTGACAGTGACAATGATGACAGTGACGAATCGGACATTGATGATGAAAGGGACGGTGACAATGATGGTGGAGACGATGATAGCAGTAAGGATTGGGTCAAGGTTGGCATTGAAGAAGACGATGATGATGACATTGAAGAAGACGATGATGATCATGATGAAAGTGACGATGATGATGGAAGTGACGATGATGATGGTAATGTTGATGATGGTGAAAACTCTCCTATTCCAGTCTTGAACAGTTGGCCGGAGGACAAATAATGTAGTGACAGGAAAGATAAGGATCGAAGACCACTCCTCTAACTTGCTTGGGTACTTATCTTAGTTATCTAATGTAGTATATACGAGTAAACTCACCTTTACATGCACGGTTTCACCATTTTTCTTTCAAATTTACGTCTAATTACATGTAATACTGATATTCAACAAAGCATTAAATGAAATACGTTATGGTCAAAATGAGATTACTAAACATTACTTGAGAGATAAAAAATGTCTAACAAATATGTTAAAATCATAACCTTGTATATATGCATTGAAATTGATGTTCTCACAATACTAAAGCATTACTTTCGGGTACTTCTTATTGGCCTTCATCCATGCTGTGAACATTTTGTCATTAACTGAGCATACCCGAATCACTGAATCCAGAGGCTGATCATCGCGAAAGACAACACTAATTAATGACTAAAAAAGTTTTTATACTATATAAAGTTTTTATAGTATGTATCACGCACTATAATGTTGATATTGGTTGTTATAAACCCAACCACACAAAGTTGAATATGACTAAAAAGGGCATTTTCAGCAACAAAACCAATGTGCCACAATGACTACTGCTAACATTTGAAGTTGTTAATAGGAATGCCAGAGCCGGTCCCAGCAAATCAGGGGCCCTGTGCAATAATAAAAATTGGGCTTTTAATTTTAGCAATAAAAAATAGGGAAAAAGTTATAACCGTACATTGTATTAGTAATAAATTACCAATAATTGAAGTCAAATTACTAGTTATTAATTAAAAAAATAATCAAAATAAGATTTATCTTTAACAAAGTACAGTTCATTTAATTTTAAAACAGATTGTCTTTGAGCATATTTTCAATGAATTATAAGCACAAATTTTCTAAAAGGTGCAAGGCGTGCCAAGACGATATGACTAAACTTTAAACTTTTAAAACTTAAACGAGGCGTGAAACGACGTTTTGATATTTATACTTTATTTTAATTTTTCTAGAGATATTTTTAAAAAATGGTACTATTATGATGTTATGATCAAATAATTCTAAAAATTGCATCTAAGTTATTGTGAGTAAATTTACTATTATAATACTACATTTTTATAAATATTCTTTATTTTAATCATTAATTTTAATTATTTCTAATAGTACTTGCATGTTTGTCATATTTGGAATAATTTTAGAATAATTCGTATGAAGCAAACATCGCATGATATACTCCGTATGTAGCATTAGGATTTTTGTGTTTTCATCTGCTATTTAGAGCCCGTTTGGTAGAAGGAAAATCGGCTGGTTTGGCTGATTCTGCTGAAATTTCTGAAGTTCTGGCTGGAGTGGCTGCATTGGCTGATTCTGCTGATTTAAGAAAAAAATATTTTTAAAATATATTTTATTAATAAAATAAAGAAAAAATTATATGTAAAAATAGCTAAAATGGTCATCTACAGTAACTTCAGCCAATACAGCCAGAAAAGTAACTCCAACCTTACTTTTTCTGCTTATTACACAATTCAGCGCGCTAAAGCAAAAATTACGTGTTTGGTGGAAAAGTTGGCTGATAAGCCTGATAAGCCGAAAAAAGGTGTTACCAAACGGCACCTTAGTGTCCCACACCGATAAGGAAAAAGTATTCCCTAGCCAACTGTTCTATAAATAAGCCTTCTCCCTTTAAATTTAAGCAATGGTTACCGGGCCGCAATTTATAACCTCAATGGGCGCGCAAAGCATTTTATAAAATTCTCGCTCGTAAGTCTGACTTGACGGCCTTTTCACATTTTTTATGATTTGTTATAACTACTAAATACTAATAATAAAAAATTTTGGACCTTCATTATTTTTGGGCCCTGTGTGGTTGGGCTGCCTGCACATGCTCTGGGGCGGCCCTGAGGAATGCTTAGGAATTAACACATTTTAGTCTGCACTAACTTATGTCAAAATCATTTTTTTAGTAAAATGTTTTGCTAGTAATTCACCTTGTGATGTGCAAATGATTTTGCCAATTTTTTTTGCATTTTCATAGGTTTATATAAATTAATTGAAGGTAAATTAATTTTAATGACTAAGTAATAAGGTGACTATCAATTTACACGAATTGCATTTTTAGACGAATTCTCTCTAAATAGGTAAAATAAGGGTGTAAAATATGTGAAAGCGTGTTATGTCATTCTTGAATTATACTTGAATCTAAATTTGTGGGAAAATGTTCAAATAGGTGCTTCTACTATTTCTAGTATCCAAGTATGGTCTGATCTGGTCTGGTTTGTTTAAGTTCGGTTTGATCTGAGACTGAAATAAGTCTAATTATAAACATCTTAAGTAATATGGTGGCAATGCATTATACGAATTGCATTTTTTACACAAATTGCCGGTAAATTGGCAAATCATGGGGGTGTGCAAATGTGTGAAAGTGAGTTATGACATTATTAAACAATACTTGTTGAGGTTTATTCCCGAAGATCCGAAAGCCCAACACAAGCTTTGGATATTGTAGGGATATTGGGTTGGGTTGAAAAGTGTATAAAAATATAAAACAGTGAGATATTATCCAACTCAGGAGCTTACTAGTATTCAGTAATTTATGCTATTACACTGGAACTACCCGAACGGTAGATGAGTATGAGAATACAAGGATAAGAGATGTAAATCTATTGCTAAGCTTTGAGTCTCAAAATGCTAACCCTTTACAATGATCTAAACATGGATATTTATACTAAAAGAGGGATGGGAAAGCTGGACACGTGGCTGAATCCAGTAGGTTACCACCTCTGCCATGTAAGCACCCATGCCCCCACTTGTAGCCGCCATGATCCAGTATTAAATGCGGCCTCCACTTGCTGATTGCCCGTTCGGGCAAGGTGTTCGGTGTGTGGGACCCCGTCATAGATGTTATCTTGTTATGAAAGTATCCCGAATGCCGATCGGGATCTGGGCATTGGCACTTTGGCGTAATTGTTTCCTGGAATGTTCCAAGTAGAAGCTTTATCCCGAATGCTGTTCGGGAATTCTTTGGACTGCCTTGGGCCTGCTGCTTCTTCCTTGATTTGGGCTTAGGGATATTGGGCCTGGACCTAATATCCCAACACTAGTCACCCACTTCCTATGTCTCGAACGGTAGTGAGTGCATAGGGAAGTAGAAGATTACTGTCCGAATGCTGTTCGGGTGAGTATCAGATGGTATTCCGCCGGTTCCCGAGGTACATTCTGACGGTTATTTGCAACTGCCGTTTCACTTCCCCGACAAACGTCATGATTACTTGAGAAGGATTCTCCGCAGGACACGTGTATCCGTCATCATTACTGGAAACGTGTCTTTCTCTGATTGGCTGTTGATTCGGCGTGACAGAATATAAGAGCATCTCCAATGGTAGAATGTGCACGATGCACATGTGGCATGAGAAATAGCCACATAAATATTAACAAATAAATTCTCTCTCTCCTTATTTGAATGATTTTATACAATTTTGATATGTTTTTCCTGCAATGTCAACGACAATGTCAACATCTAGACGGTCTCCTTGACATTGTGGAGAAAAACTTACCAAAACTGTATAAAATCATTCAAATAAGGAGAGAAAGAATTTATTTACCAATATTTATGTGGTCATCTCTGATGCCACATAGGCACCGTGCACATTCTACCATTGGAGATGCTCTAAGTAGGCTCTTCTGGTTTTGATTCTGGGTTTCGAAACTTTGCATCTCCGGCTTAAAACTCATCCTTCTCTCTAGAGCTATTTCTTAGTTCTTGTTAAGGTATTTTCTGGCCTTTGCGTTTCTCTTCTATCCTTCTTGTTCGATCAGTATGGCAACCCGTCTTCGTTCCTCTAAGTGCTCTACCTCAAATGTCGATTTCCCTGAGAATAACCCTAGTACTACACTGGAGATTACTCCTATCCCTGCGGAGGTCCCCCACGGTGATGCCTCTTCATCCGAAACTTACCCCGATGGTACCAAGTCCGGGGACGAAATGGAGGCTATGGAAGCCGGTCCTCCTAGCGGCGTTTCCTGCCATAAACTTGACCTAGCCCTAATTAGGCTGATGCGTCAAAAACTCACGGCCCAAAATAGGGCCCAAATTCAGATGATGATCCCGGACTCGGTGGATTTCCGATTCCAGGCCGGGCTTCACCCAATGCGTCACTTCCCTGGGATGGTAGTGGTCCATTTTGACTCAATCAAGGCCGGTCTTAGATTCCCACTTCACCCCTTTTTTGTCTTCCTTTTAAATTTCTACAACGTAGTACCAGCCCAAATAATGTCGAACTCCTATCGGTCAATAGCTGGTTTCATTTGTCGTTGTCACAGCGTCAAGGTCACACCCACCCTAGAGCTTTTCCATTATTTCTTTTCAGTTATTCCCCAGCAGTCCCATGGTTTCCTGGTGGTAAGTGCCCGAACAGGATGATACGTTTGTAATTTCCGTATGTTTATTTACGTTTTTAGTTAGTTTTGATTGTTTAATATCTCGGAAATTACACACTTTCGGTGTAATAGTTTAGTTTGTTAAATTCTTGTAATTTGTTTAGATTAGGTTTATTCTGAGCTTAAACAGGTCCAAGATCAATCAAATGATCAATGGTGAAGGAAGGTGCAAGAGTACAAGACAAAAGAAGGAAAAATCCTGATTTTGGTCTATACTCGGTCGAGTATATACATATACTCGATCGGGTATCTGGTTGACATTTCAAATCGGATCGGATCCGAAAACAAAGGAACATGCAGGAGAAGATCTTCCCACGTTCGAGTGTCTATACCCGATCGGGTATGCTTATATACTCGATCGGGTATGCACATAAAATCTACTCGAGTATTGATCGAGTATTGACCAAATTCTGATTTCTATACATACTCGATCGAGTATGTATACATACTCGATCGAGTACTCGATCCTGCACCTCAAAAAGCCTATAAATACACCTCCTTTCCTTCACTTTTAGATACCAATTCACATATACTTCTTAGCTCAGTTTAGACAAGTTCTTTCTTTATATTTTTCATCATGTTTAGTCTCCAAATGAGGAGCTAAACTCTTCCATCTTGGTTTTGCTACTTTGAAGCTTAATGATTTGTAAGTTGTGAGTTATTTTCTTTAATCTTCTTCCTTGAATATTAATTACTTCCTATTCATATTCCATATTAATATATTGAGCATTACTTAAAGTATCAACTAGTCTTGTTCTATATATTAATTATTACTAGAATCAATCGGTTAATACGCTTGTTATT